AAAGACAATTGGAAAGTTTCTCCCATCCTCCTGCTGCAAGAGAAATATTTGAGGTCCTTTGGGGAGAGTCCAAATGGCTTCAGGATTGCTCTCCTGTACTATTTTAGACACGTGGTTTATGTATGTTTGCATTTATGAACATTTATTCTATATTTGAGACCTCAGAATTCTTATAACACTGTGCTTATGAATCAGTTACTTTGAGGTGCATTTTTAACCAGCTCTTCAGCCCGGCTTACATACCAGATTGAAACCAGTCACTACGCACAGGGTTGCAATGTAAAATACACAGCACACAAGGCAAGATGGATGGGGAGGAAAGAGGAAACATTCCTCCCAAAGGAGCCAATTCTCAGAGAGCCGTTCTTATAAGTTAGGGAAACATTTTGGCCGTAGGAGGTGCTTGAGGGAAGGGCCCTGCTTCCCATCATTCCTGCTGAGGCAGCCTGATAGAATGGCTGTTTCTGTGTGGTATTTGAAGACCTGGTGGTTATAAGAATCTTAAGGTCTTATATATAATAGATGTCCATAAATGTACCATGCAAACACATATATAAATATATGAACCACATGTCTGAAACCCACAAAAAAAACTCCTAAAGCCATTTTGACTCTTTCAGTCACCTCAAATATTTCTCTACAAGGTGGAAGGAAATGCAGAAGCCTCCCTATTGTCTCATTTGTTCACAAATCCTGTCTTAAGGGTGCGTTTGTGTATGAATAGGAGCCTGTGACCTGGATTCAGGATTAAGTAGTTATCATTACAAAAGAATAGTCAGGCTCTCCAGGTAAACCCATCAACAGGTTTACTGCCGGCCCTTCTCTGATGTATGGATGATGTATTGGAGGGTGGTCTTAGGCTACACCCCTTCTGTGATGTATGTATGATGTACTGGGAATGGGAATTCCAAAGGTCTTTACAGTGGTACCCTCGGGTTACAGATGCTTCAGGTTACAGACGCTTCAGGTTACAGACTCTGCTAACCCAGAAATATTACCTCGGGTTAAGAACTTTGGTTCAGGATGAGAACAGAAATCGCGCGGCAGCAGTGGCAGGCCCCATTAGCTAAAGTGGTACCTCAGGTTAAGAACGGTTTCAGGTTAAGAATGGACCTCCAGAATGAATTACGTATTTTTCGCTCTATAAGACGCACTTTTTCCCTCCTAAGAAGTAAGGGGAAATGTGAGTGCTTCTTATGGAGTGAATGCAGGCTGCACAGCTATCCCAGAAGACAGAACAGTGAGAGGGATCGTTGCGCAGCACTCCCTCTCGCTGTTCTAGCTTCTGGCTTAGCCGCGCTCTGTCCCTTCCCCCACCTCCCGCAAAAGCCAGCAAGAGCCGTGCTCCCTTTAAAGAGCCACGCAGAGCGTGTGTGCGGCTCTTGGGGGCTTTTCCCCGAGGAGGGAGAAGGGCAACCCGTCAGTGACGGGGCAGCCCTTCCTTCTCCTCGGGGAAAAGCCTGCAAGCGCCGGCACACACACTCCACGCGGCTCGTGAAAGGGAGGCTGAGCAGAGCCTGGGAGGCATACAGGCTCTGCTCAGCGCTCCCTTTAAAGAATTTTTTTTCTTGCATTCCCCCTCTAAAAACTAGGTGCGTCTTATGGTCAGGTGCGTCTTATGGAGTGAAAACTACAGTATGTTCTTAACCCAAGGTACAACTGTATAGGAGTTTGCACACTATTGTTCTCGGGTCCTCTTCCTCTCTCCTGCGTGTGGGGGGAGCACCCTGTTGCAACAGTTTAATAAAGATCAGGCTTACTAGCTGCTTTGCTTCTCAATATTCTCTCTTTGGTCTCTGTTATTTTATCCTACCAACAGAGAACTAAAAGAGGACTCTATATGGGCTCTTGGGTACCCCATAAGGGAAAAGGAGTTTTTCTTATATCATGGTCCAATAGTGGTTTTGTGCTAAATGGGCAAATGAAGGCACTGGCTTATTTATTCCTTAGGTATGCACTTGCAAAACATACACACCCACCAGTGTTCAAGATTCAGGTAGGTAGACATGTTGGTGTGATGCAGTCGAAAAAATGAAAAAAATTGTCCAGTAGCACGCACTTTAGAGACCAGCTAAGTTTGTTCTAGGTGTAAGCTTTCATGTGCATGGACACTTCAGATATCTGAAGAACTGTGCATGTACATGAAAGCTTATACCCAGGACAAACTTAGTTGGTCTCTAAGGTGCTACTCCACTAATGTTCAAATTATGTTTTATTGTGTTGTGCTTCATTTTATGGTGGATTGTATGTGAAATTTTGAAAAACAAAACACCATTATGGATGTCCAGCCAAAACATCCCCACTCTCAACCAATAACCCTTGCAGCTGCAACAAAGATTAAACTGCCAGTGGGCAGATGGGGAATGATGAGTGCAGATTTGAGGCTGTTTGGGCTAATGGGACTAGTTTCTTCTGGCTACTGGCTGTGTAGCCAGGCACACCAAAAAAAAACCTCATCTCTTCTATTTCTCTACTCCCCTTGAGACTGGAAACATGAGAGAGGTTGGTGGTTACTGCCTCTTGCCATTTTTAAAACCCAGGTAGGTGAGAGCGCATCTAGGTGCATTCTCCCTTCCTTGGCCTAGCAAAGTGGGTTTTTTAATATTCCCAGGGCCATCTCAGGCTCTAGGCCAGGGGTGTCCAACTCCCAAAAGACAGCGATCTACTCACATTGCTATAAACTGGCAGTGATCTATCCCCCTTTTTGGGGTTCAGGTCCAAGTTGAGCTTTTTTTTTAGGAAGGAGGAAAGCCCTGGTTTTGGGGGGTGCAGGGCAAAAATGTTGAGCTTTTTTTTTAGGGGAGCCAGAGTTGTTGAGCTTCTTTGGGGGGAGCCAGTGATCTACCACAGACGTCCACTGATCACGATCTGCCTGTTGGACGTGCCTGCTCTAGGCGATTGAGGAAAATATTCTGCTGATTACTGAAATGAGGCAGCGAGGGCATAACTGCACTTTCCTCATGTTTGTTATGTCAGAACCATAGCAAGTTCTGTGGATCAGCTGCATAGCATCTGCCTTGCATGCTAAAAGCCCCAGCATCTCCAGGTAGGGCCAAGAGAGACCCATTGCCTGAAACCCTGGTGAGCTGCTGCCTGCCAGGGTAGACAGTACTGAGCTAGATGGACCAAGGCCTGACTCAGTATAAGGCAGATACCTATGTTCCAGAATCATTAATACAAATGTAGGTTATTGCTGGATATTAATGAATCTGATGGTAGTGATGAGCCAGATACTGCACAGAGCTTCTGCAGAATCTTCCACGGATGACACAAGCACTTCCCCACCCTGTCGTTTTCCTCAGAGATTCCTCAGAGGCTTGCCTTGTCCGGGATTCTGCCAAATCTGGAGAGGATGCTGTGCTCAGGTGGGGCCTCCTCCTAAGCCCCATAGCGACATTTTGCCTTGGAACGTGGCAGATAAATGCAAACGCTGAATCTGAGGCTTGCTCTGTGAGGTCTCTACCCCCACCCCATTGTTTAAAGTTTTATCTTAGATGTAAATTATATAACATTTAAAATAACTTGTCACTTCCTATACTTCCAGTCAGTCATTTCCTACAATATTAAGAATAAGTCCTCTTCAAGACATTGTGTGAATTGTAGGTGGGAACAAACTTTGCTGACTATTAATGAATTCTATAAATGAATGACATAACAAAAGAAATAATTTTTTGCAGTGCATCTCATGAGTTCGGTATGGTGATTTAGTTTTTCAGATAGGCCTACCTGCTGTACATTTATCTAGCCATTTATTATGTGACAGTCCATTTATGTTCTTCCAGTGGGTTGCTAGTACTGATCTGGCTGCTCTACAATTCTACGTAGAAGGACATAAACTCCACAATTTTATGATTCTCAAAAAAAAAGTTCTCCCCCTTTCTTCCTCCTCTCTCTTCCCACTTCCTCTTTTCCCTCAATCCCAAATTGCCAATAACAGTAATGTCTCACTCTGGATACAACTGATTTGTTTGAATGGTTTTATGACTTGAAAACAAGAGACTCAATATATTGTATTGGTATCAAAGAAAATAGTTTATTAAAAATATATTAAACAAAAAAAAATACATTATCTTACAGGGAACAGGGAACCAACCAGAAAGCTGATCGTTCAGAAAAAGGCTGTACATGGTGCAGCCACAATAAGAGTTCTTGCTTATACAGGTAGGGCTACTCTGTTGTCTTCTGTCGCTTGGGATCTGTGGGGCTATGGCTTTCAGTGGGGCTCCTTCTGACTCCTTCCTCTGCCCTCTTGGCCAGCCGTGGATCTCTTGGCCTATTCTGAGATGTAGCCTGTGGGTTTGAGGAACTGGAGTGCCCAGATGCTGGCATTAGAGGTGCCCCACTGTTCCTTGGAGCAGGAGCAGCAGAAGATGATGGCTGGGGATGTTGTACAGGGACTTCATTCATCAGGGCTGCCATGGTCACCTGCCCAAATCTGGGTACCACCAGACTTGGCTGGGCTTGCGCAGGAGATTCTTTATTGCTCCCTGGAGCAGGACCGGGAGCAGGAGCAGGAGCACCAGAAGATGATGGCTGGGGATGTTGTGCAGGAGCTTCACCCGATGTGGCCACCGTGGTCACCTGCCCAATTGCTGCTCTCGCCAGTCTCTGCTGGACTGACATGGGCTTCAGGATCATCTTAGCACCAGTTGCATAGCAAGGAATACTGTTGTACATGGTTTTGGAGGTGGTCTTGATGATGGAGCCTCTTTTCTGAGCATCCTGAATCAATGCGTTCCAATCTTTATTTTCCTACAAAAGGAAATTTTATTTTTTACAAAACAAATTCTTATGATTTGGGGGTAGTGGTGGTCTATAAGCTGGGGGAAATTAATCTGATGCCTCAAACTAGAAACTGTTGTAACTTGATCCCAGTTCTCTTTCCTTCTCAGGGAGGGGAACCTGGCGGTGGTGGAATTAATCTGCCCCCTAGTGTTCCCAGCTGGCCTGCCAACCTTCAACTTCTTCTCAACCCCACTGCCTGCTGCTTAGGAGACCATTGTAGCTTCTTGGCTGAGCTGCAGGAAAGTGGGAGTTTGACTGTGTCGGTCTTGGGCTTCCCTTGCTTTTGGAGTGCACCTCTCAACAGCTTTCAGCTTGGGGGAAATGGGGGCCTTGGCCTGAAAAGTGTTCTTCACCCTTCCTCTAAGGCTGGCTGAATTAATCTAAAACACTAGAGACCACTAATAATGGGTGTCAGGAGAAATGAGGTCAAACTTCCTCTGGATTGCACCCACTGGTAAACAGTGGTTTGTGAACACACAACAGAGGATCCCTCCAATATGGCCGTACTCGGGCTATAAGGATCCTTCCCTCCTCACTGCAGTTACAAAACAAGCAGCAGCAGCAGCAGGGAAACGAGTGTTTAACAGGAATCCATTCACAACTCTGAACTTTACAGGAGCAAACCATCATTGCCAGGCCTTCCAATGGACAAACCTGGATTGGAGGCCCTCTAGTGGCAAAGTTGTTATGGTACAAGGCTGGGGGAAAGGACCATATGAAGACTTTGCGCCCATATGGGAGTAACTGTGACCTCATGCAGGAAAGTGCCAGGATGGAAAGAGGGGAGTCCCCCATGCCAGCTGCGTTATCCCCTGACTGGGCGCCTCCCTGGGAGAAAACTGGCAGGACAGGAGTCTGATGGGACAGAGGCAACCAGCATGGCAGAGGACGGCATCCCTTTCTCTGCTCCCCTGCACACAGCTGGCATTCTAGCACAGAGGAAGGAGTGGGGAACTTTTGTGGCCCCCAGAAGTTGCTGAACTCCATCTCTCACCGCCCCTCATCATTGGCCAGGCCGGTGGGGCTGCTGGGCATCGCACATCTGAAGGGCTGCAGGATCCCCGGCCCTTACAGCATCTCACAACACCTCCCAGAAATGCCATGCTTGGCCTTGCATGAAAAACCACAGCGTTCAATGGTCAGGAGTGATGGGAGTTGTAGTCCAGTCCATTAGCTCTGGAATACCATACTGCCAGTCTAAGATCAACTGGTGAAAGAGCTAAAGTAACGTAAGTTTTACCATCTATGAAACCCGAGTTTCAGGTTCCTCTGGGCGCCCACAAGCAGGGACAAAATTGAGATGGCACTGACCCCCCCATCAGGACCTTCTCAGTGGTAGCTCCCTCTTTGTGGTGGCCCCCTCCCTGGGGAGCTGCGCCTGTCTCCCTCATTGTTGCCTTTCAGGAGAAGTTTGAAAACCTGTTTGTTTACACAGGTGCCTTCGGTGGCGGAAGGACACTGGATACGGGACGAGAGAATGCCTTTTCCAAAGAGGTTTAGAACTGTAGCTCTTCTTAGAAGGCTCTTTAAACCATTGTTTTGTGTCTGATATGTTTACCGCCCTGGGCTCTTGAGGGGCTGGACCTAAATTCAAGGAATGAATAAATGTGGCCCAACATTTTCCCCAACCCCGCAGATTCAACAGATTGAATTGTCTACAACACCTCTGGCCAGCCTGGATCCCTCCCAAAGTTTTGAACTGCAATCCTCACCTGCCACAGCCAGAGCAGCAAATCTGTGCCCCCTTTTCAAGGGCAGGCGGAGGGCACCACCTACAGACACAGCGTACTGGGCCTGTTGGCACCCTGCTCCTCCAAACAACCCTATGAAGTAGGCTTGATTTATGGCTTTGGGAGGCGATGGGGGGGGCCTTGGGCCAAGCCCCACACACTGCCAGGGCACCCCCACTGGCCCTCCAAGTCCCGCCTTTCTCTACAAGGAGGGCTGACGTATATATCCAGAGAGAGACTCATGCCTTCTTCCACTTACCATGAGAGTCTTCAGGTGTCCCAGGATGAAGAGGCTGTACTTGGCTCGGGTGAGGGTGACATTCAGACGCTGCAGACTCTTCAGGAACCTGGAGAGGGCAAAACAAGCCACAGGTGAAGCTGGCTCAGGATGGGCAGTGTGTCTCCCCCCCCCCCGTGTCCTCCTAGACGACCACCGTGGGGTTCACTAAATCCCTGCATTTGTTTTTTGTTTTTTTTTTATTAAATTTTTATTAGAAAAAAGTTACACGTTACAAATCAAAAATCAGATACATATATACATACAGTTAAAAGGACAAAAGAAACAAAAAGAAGAAAAAAGAAGAAAGAAAAGGAAAAGAAAGAAAAAGGAAAAGAGCAAGAAAAAGCAGACTTCCGTTCAACTTAGTATGGAGTTACATAACCATCTTATAATCTTTGCAAGTAGAGTTTACAATTGTATTATACTCGAGGGTGTTAACTATCTTCTGCTGTATATTTATTATGCCATGTTATTCTTAACGTAAATTAAAAAATTCTTCCATTCATCTTTATGTTTCATGGTGTTATTTTGCCTTATTTTCTGAGTTAATCTCGCTAATTCTATATATTGATATAATTTTCACTTGCCATTCTTCAATCGTGGGAATATCAGGAGATTCCATTTTTTTGTGCAATTAGGATCCTGGCTGCAGCTGACGCATATTGGAAGAAGGTTCGATCTGGTTTTTTAATTTCCTCATCAATCATACCCAGAAGAAACAATTCAGGTTTTTGGGGAAGTTATATTTTAAGATTTTTTTCAGTTCATCATAAATCATCCCCAGAATTCCTTTACTGCCTCACAAGTCCACCACATGTGGAAAAAAGTCCCAATCTTATCTTTACATCTCCAGCAGCAATTATCAACGGTCTTATACATCTTTCCTAACTTTGCTGGAGTCAGGTACCAGCGGTACACCATCTTCTCTAAGTTTTCTCTGAGGGTTGCACACGCCGTGAATTTCATACCCTTCCTCCAAAGTGTTTGCCATTTACTATAATCAATATTATATCCTAGGTCTCTATCCCACTTTACCATCCCGCCCTTCACCAAGTCCTCTCTTGTATCCCATTCCAATAGTTGTTTATATAATTTAGAGAGGTGTTTATCGTTACTCTCTAGGATTTCCACCTGATATCTTGATTTTTTATCCCTCACCCCCTGCGTCTTGTGCTCACCCACAGTGCATTAATCTGGTGAAAGAGTAGCCATTCTTTTATCTTATCTTTCAGCTCATCATAAGGTTTTATCTTCCAACCCTCTTCTGACTTTGTCAAAAGATCCTCATAGGTCCATCTTTCCTCCGTCATGTTTGGTTTTTTTAATCTGATGATGTCCACTGGGGAGAGCCACCAGGGGGTCCCTTTTTCAATCAATTTTTTGTATCTATTCCACACCGCCAAGAGTGAACCTCTAATTATATGGCTTGAAAACCCTCTATGCACCTCACCTTTCCCCTGCCACAGGTAAGCGTGACACCCGAACCTAATGTCAAAGCCCTCCAAATCCAATAAATCAGTATTCCTAAGGGTGGCCCATTCCTTTAACCAACTTAAACAGGCTGCCTCGTAATATAACTTTAAATTCGGTACCCGCGCAACCCCCTCTCTCTCTTGCATCTGTCAGGTATTTAAACTTTATCCTGGCTCTCTTCCCCTGCCAGATAAACTTAGTCAACATTTTTTGCCAGTTACTAAAACGAGTGATACCCTTAATTACCGGGATATTTTGAAACAGAAACAGTAACCTTGGAAGGATACACATTTTAATCGCCGGCCATCCTCCCCGTCCATGAGAGCTTCAGCCTCTGCCAGGTATCCAGATCTTTTTTAATTTCTTGCCAAATCTTGTCATAATTATCTTCAACCAATTATATTTTTTGGAGATAGGCCAAAATTCCCTAAATATTTTGCCTTATTCCACAATTTTAAATGCCCGTCCTTTTGTTTCCAATTGGTTTTTATCATGCATTGGCCAGATTCTTTGTTAAAATTTTTGTTTTCTTCCTTTTAGTCTAAAACCTGACAGATCTGCCGATTCTCTAACAATTCAATCAACTTACAAACACTATCCACTGGTTCTTCAGGGATAGGACTAGGTCATCCGCAATAGGCTTTTAGCTTGAATTCTTTCCTCCAATTCTATACCCTTCACATTCCCAGCGTCTCTTATTCTATTGCGATGACTTCCAAGACCATATGATAACAAGGGGGACAAAGGGCAACCCTGTCTTGTACCTTTTTCGATCTTAAATGGTTTGGTCAAATTGTTATTTATGATCAGCATAGCTGTTGTTCCGAATATATGCTCTAATGCCTTTCAAATAGGGGCCTTCAATACCTGCCTTTTCCAAGCATACTAATAGGAATTCCCAGGAGACGTTATCAAACGCCTTTCGGCGTCTATAAAGATAAGGGCGGCTGGGACATCTATCCTTGCATCTAAATATTCAATAATATTTAATATGTGACGAACATTGTCTTTCTGATAACGATTAGGAAGAAATCCCGCCTGGTCTTTGTGTATGTGTTTCATTAATAACCTCTTCAATCTACTAGCCATTATATCGGCAAAGATCTTATAATCATTATTAAGCAGAGATATTGGCCTAAAATTTTTTATATCTGTTTTCTCGGTTTCCGATTTTGGGACCAGAGTTATATATGCCTCCTTCCAGGAGCCAGGAATTTTCCCTCCCTGGAGGATATTATTAATAACATCTCTAAGCACCGGAGCAAGGAGTTCTCCTAATATTTTATAATATTTGAGGGCAGACCATCTGGCCCAGGGGCCTTACCATTTTTCATCCTATTAATAGCCTCAATAACTTCATCTACAGTGACTTCCCTATTTAACCACGCTCTGTCCTCTTCTAAAATATATTTTCCTCTATCCTGCTCCAAGTATCTTTCAATTTCTATTCTATCTTCTGTCCCTCTCTCATATAACTTTCCAAAAAACTGAACAAACCCTTTTTCTATTTCCACTGGATCTTCAATAATATTATCTTCCATTACTATCTTACTTATCACATTTTGCTTTTTCCTCTTCCTTAGCTGCCACGCAAGCAACTTCCCCATTTTATTTGCCGATTCAAAATACCTCTGCCTCATATATTTGATTCTCCAGTCCGATTCTTGGCTTAATATAGCTGAATACTGGGCCTGCATCACCTTTATAGCACGAATCACCTCCTCATCTGCTGGGTTTATGGTCAATTTCCTCTCAAAATTTCTCAATTCTGTAAGAATTTCTACTTTCTTTTGTTCTCGCATTTTCCTCCTATAATTTTTTTGTTGGATTAGGATACCCCTCATGACCGACTTACTGGCGTCCCATACCATGTCTATGGTGGGTTCCCCCTTCAAATTCCAATCAAAATACTCCTTCAGGGCGCCTTTAACCTTTTCTTTCACATCATCTATATCCAGTAGATTTTCATCCAGCCTCCATCTAAATTGTCCCTTAGATCCCCCTTTAATTTCCATAACCAGTGCACAGTGATCAGAAAGTGTCCTGGGTAAGATTTCACATCTTTTTACTCTTAATATAATATTTCTTGTCACCCAAATTTGGTCTATTCTTCCCCAACTTTGATGAGGTTCTGAATAGTGAGTGAATTGCTTGGAGGTAGGATTTTTATACCTCCACACATCAATTAGATCCAGATTCTCCTCCATATCTTTAAAAGATTTCGGCAGCTTTCCCCTATCTGAGTTCCCTCTCTTTTCGCTCCTATCCAGCTCCGGTACTGGGACCCCATTAAGGTCCCCCAGCAGAATTAGTTTATGCGTATCCAGGTCTAGCAGGATTCTTTCAAGTTTCTCATAAAACTCTGCTTTATTTTTATTCGGGGCGTATACCGTCACAACATTGATTTTTTCCCCCTGGAAATTTAACTGTACCCCTAGAATTCTCCCTTCTTCATCTTTACAAATTTGTATGGGATCCCACTTCTCTTTTACATATATCACAACACCTTTCTTTTTATTTATCTCCGAATTTATAAACTCTACTCCTAATTTTTTATTCTTTAGGATATGTCTATGTTTTTTCGCGATATGCGTTTCCTGGAAGCAGATTACATCATAGTTTTTGTTTTTCAATACTCTCTCGATTTTATTCCTTTTGACTTTCTCATTCAAACCATTTACATTCCAGGATAAAAAGTTTAGTTTGTGTGTTATTGTTTTCCCTTATCTGCTACGGGTTAACTGACCGAAGTCCCCAACTAGATTCTGCTGCCTCTGCTACCAGAGGGCTCCTCCTCCTCTGCCGTCCCCGCTCCCACCACGGCCTCATCAACTTCCTCATCTGATCCTTCCGACCTCTCCTCCCCCTCTCGACCCCCCCCTCCCCCGTCCCCTCCACCTCCCCCCCCTCCCCCCCACTCCTCGGCCTATTCTCTGTTCTTCCCAAATCTTTCTCATACCTTCTCAAAAACTTTTCAGCTTCCTGTATGTCCATCAATCTAAATTTCTTTTCCTTATAATAGAAAGTGATCCCTTCCGGGAACTCCCATCTAAAGTGTATCCCATTTCTCTTCAAGGCAGCTACCACCTGTTTATATCTTTCTCTTTTACGTAATAACCTAACCGGAATTTCTTTGTAAATAATAATGGGTCTTCCATCAATTCTTAATCTATTATGGTAGCTCTTCCTTAAGATTAAATTTTTCATTTCCACTGATTTGAAGATCACCAAACTGCGGGACGCAGTGGAAGACAGGAGTGCCTGGCGTGCTTTGGTCCATGGGGTCACGAAGAGTCGGACATGACTAAATGACTAAACAACAACAAAATTCCATCATCGTCATCATCTATGGATAATTCTAGATTAGATTTAACCGGCATCAGACCTGCTTACTCTTAGGCGCAAAGGAGTTGATACTCGGATGGCTCAGTTACTGAAACAGTGTTTTTCGATGGGAGAAGGAGAAAATTTCTATCACTCTTGCAAATGTGCCCATTTAATTTGTCCCCCTCCAGTGTTCCATCTTCTCTCTCTTTGCTGCTCCTTTTTCTCACGTTCCTGAGGCTGGCAGATTGTACGCTTATTCAAATAGCATTCTCCCATTGGCTGTGCCTCTGGTTTACAACGCATTCTGTAAAACCCCAGAATTTAAAGGGGATTTAAATTGTTCTATCTACTTGGGAATGTCTGTTATCTTGAAAGACGGAGGGTCTGCAGCAAGAGGAGCATGCAGTCTGCAATCTAGATGCCTTTCTTTGATGGCATGGTAAGAATGTGCAGAAATGGAAGCATCCTGATTTGAATTTGCTGTTTTGAGTTTTGCATTTTAATTACACATCCCTGTATCTTTCAGGCTACCCTGAATCACACAGAAAATATCTGTAAATTGCTCAGTATTCCATGAAATATTCTACTTGGCACATTAAGCTCCTGTTGCTCCAATATATTTAGAAAGGAGGGGAACAGGAAGAAAATAAGGAGCAAGAATATGCAGAATTATTATTTTTTACTGACTTAAGAAAATGCAGGAAATCATGAGTCACAGTTGAACTGAACAGGGCTGATCTTCCTCCAATGTCTTCTTCAAGATAATGGACCTTCTCATTGCTTCAAAGAAGGCTGCCATTTTAAGGAGAGCCCATAACTTCAGCAGGCACTCTTCACCATTTAAAAATGTTATAAAAATAAAAAAGCACAATACAGCCGTACCTTGGTTCTCAAACGGAATCCATTCCGGAAGTCCATTTGACTTCTGAAAATGTTAGGAAACCAAGGTGCAGCTTCCGATTGGCTGCAGTAGCTTCCTGCAGCCAATCGGAAGCTGCAGAAGTCGCGCCGGATGTTCGGCTTCCAAAAAATGTTCGTAAACCGGAACACTCACTTCTGGGTTTGTGGCATTTGGGAGCCAAACATTCGAGTCACAAGGCGTTCGAGAACCAAGCTATGACTGTATATATCAAAGCTCCCATGCCCATAAAAAGCAGCCAGTCAGCCAGCACGGAAAACTATTTCAGTCCCTTCCCCAATGCTCTACTCCCAAAATATAACACAATGTTAGCACAACTAAAAATTAAAATAAAATAAAGACTCCCTTTTTCTACTGACGCCACTCTTCACCTTCATTCCCCCCCCAAAAAAATATCAGTGATACTACTGTGAGCTTAATTTTGCAATGCTTTGCCTCTTTTAGAAAGATGTCAATTCACTTTAGCCAGTATGCTCATGACACCAGATGATTTGTCCTAAACCAAAAAAATCCACCAAAATGTTCAGAAAATGAGTATTTTCTTCTGAGCACTTTTTGGCACCTGTTTGGTTTCTACTGCTACCTGGGATAGCCATTGGATTCCTGTTTGCCAGGAAGCTATCGCTGTTTCATAGAATTTGTTGTATCAGCAGAGCTGCTGCCTCCACCCCCTGACAATTTATATCTAAACAGGAAAATGCCAGGTGTGTGCTGGTCCGAATGCAGAAAACAGCAGCTACAGAAATCCATTTCTAATGTCAAGCATGTTTGTTTGCATAGTGTCAGCAAGCCTCTGCCTTAGCAGAAGGAAGAGGCCTTCTCATTAGGAACATCCTAATTAGATGTTGTCCATGGAGTTTTCTTGGTAGGGATACTGGAGTGGCTTGCCGGTTCCTGCTCCAGGTGGATCACGTTTGGTCAAAACTCTCCACTATGACCTGTTCATCTTGGGTGCCCTGCTCGGCATAGTTCATAGCTTCTCTGAGCTATTCAAGCCCCTTCGCCACGGCAAGGCAGTGATCCATGAAGGGAGGCAGTGGAAGACAGAAGTGCCTGGCGTGCTCTAGCCCATGGGGTCACGAAGAGTCGGACACGACTAAACAACAACAACAACAACGAGATGTTGCTAGACTACAACTTCCACCACCCCTGACCATTGGCCATGCTTACTGGGACTGATGGGAGTTGGGGTCCCACAACATATGGTGGGTACCACATCAGCTACCCCTGAGGCACAAGCTTAGCACAGGGGAGGGCTTGAGAAGAGGGCTTCCTGTGCTCTTTATCCTGAGTGTTCTCCATGTGCAGTTCTACAAACAGCAGGAAGATAAGGCCATTTTTGTTCTTGCCTCCCTGGACTGAATAGTTCAAGAGTGAAGGACAATGCAAGAGGGTCTTACTTTTCCAAATCCACAAGGAACTACACAAGGAAGTAAAGGTAAAGGTACCCCTGCCCGTACGGGCCAGTCTTGACAGACTCTGGGGTTGTGCGCCCATCTCACTCTATAGGCCGGGAGCCAGCGTGACGAAGCTGCATCTGGCGAGCCAGCGCAGCACACGGAACGCCGTTTACCTTCCCGCTAGTAAGCGGTCCCTATTTATCTACTTGCACCCGGGGGTGCTTTCGAACTGCTAGGTTGGCAGGCGCTGGGACCGAGCAACGGGAGCGCACCCCGCCGCGGGGATTCGAACCGCCGACCTTTCGATCGGCAAGTCCTAGGCGCTGAGGCTTTTACCCACAGCGCCACCCGCGTCCCTCACACAAGGAAGTACGAAGTCTAAAGTGAAAGGGGACTTTCTCTGAGGTGGGGATTTCCTACCAGATCTTCTCGCGGGTCCCTTGTAATTCGCCTACTTTTATATTACCAAAGTGTTACCAAACTTTTTTTTTAAGCAGAAATTTTTGACATCTGTAACAAGGTTAATGGGGGACTTTCATCAGATTTCTCTTAATGTGTGTGAAAGAGTTGGAGAGTTTGTAGGAGGAATACTCCCTGTAACAAACAAAGGGTATAATTTTAATTCAGAGATTGTTCCCCAAATGGGGAGTTATTCCTTCAGGTCTCTTCTCTCCCCCCCCTCCAACTTTTGCACAATAGTAATAGCAAAAGAAACCTTAGATTCTGAGCTATCTCAGACACTTATATTGGGGGTACTGTGGGAAATTTAAATACTGAGCATGAGGAGTGGGGGGTCAAAGCAAGTATTAGGGGCCTGGTAGCTGCCTGATCATGCTGTGTGGTGACTCCAAGCCTTGCTGTTGGCGTTATCATTTCTTCTTTAACCAAGCTACTGTCTCACAGCTTTCTGGACATTCATCTGCAATCATCATCTGAAGCCTTTCTACATGTTTCTCTTCCATGAGAGGCCTGGAAGGCCGGCAACATGAGAACAGGGCCTTTTCTGCGGTGGCTCCCTGCCTGTGGAATGCTCTTCCCAGGGCAATTCGCCGGGCACCTTCATTACATATCTTTAGGCACTGAAGCAAAAACATTCCTCTTCTCCCAGGCCTTTGGCTAATTATACAATTTGGGGTCACGAAGAGTCGGACACGAC